CTTTGTTTTTTTTTTTTAAGTTAATTGCTCTAACGAGTAATATTTTTCTGATCTTCGTTACGAATGATGTTCGAACGTAACATTCGAAAATTGATAAGCTCGATTTCATTAAATTTCTTCGAAACTTATAGACGTCGACTTCGTGCAATAACATATTTTCTAATTTTTTTTATAATATGTTTATTATTCATTAAAATAAAGTGTTTCATTTTATATCTCAAGTTTTTGATCGCAACGAAAAAGGGAAAAGTAATTCGACATTGTGAATTGACACCGACGACTTAATATTTGAATACTTTCTTCAAATTTCTGCAAACTTGTCTCGCTGTGAAGCCGCGTGAAAAAAACAACTACATATTTCTCTAAGTTTTCTTCGAAACACGAATAAAATTTTGTTTCGTCAAAGCGCAGAGTTTACAATTGTAACATGCGTTTAAAACAAAAACTGTTTTAAAATTGAATTTTTTAGATCTAGAATTTTTAGATTTAGAATTTTCTAAATCTTCGTATTTTTAGTTTTTATTTTTGTAATTTTATAACTAATGGGTAACTTCCAGTATTATATTCGGTAAATAAATAAATACATTTTGGCCAGCTCGTCGGCGAGAACGACATTTGTGCATCGCGTCGGACGTTGTCCTGAATTACATTTCATTATTTCTACGGTAAAAATATCCTCGGGAGGCAATCATCGATTAAAGAGTAATTAAACTTTCATGAAATCGAACGGCGAGGGCGAAAGCAAGGTAAACGCTTTCCAGGGCACCGCACCGACCGGGAGAAATTTCGCCTCGGGTTTGTAAATGATGCAAGTTTCCGTAACAACTGCGATCAGGACGAATCTATAAATTAATCTGGCCGGCCTTTCGACAGGATCATTGACTACCGATTAGCTAAATCGCGAAGCCATTTGAATACTCTTTATCGCCGCCGGACACGGAAAGAAAATGATTTCGGATGACTATGAACCGGCTATCCTCGTCTATTCGTAGAATATTTTGATTCCATGCTAATAACAAGCTTCGCCAACAATAATCGACCAGCGTCTACCTCTAATTTCGATCGATCGATGGCATCCTCGGACGATACGTAACTGCCACGGAAATTAATTCCTCCAATTTCTTTCTCATTTGATAATCGCTTCCAGACAGTTCGACGCTTCGTTCCTACGATCAAGATCGAGGGAAAGTCGAACACGTCTTTTTGCGGCGCACGCGATCTATGCTTCCTGCGATACGAAATCCACGAGACGCGATCGTTTTCTCGTTCTCTTTGATCGACGCGAGGCGCAACGCCCGACCGTGTAATCATCTGCTAGCTCGTTCGAAACCCTTCATCCACCGATGTCGAAGATGCCCGAATATAATCCGTGCGACGAGTATGGTTGCGCTGTTCCTCTCTGGCAGAGATCATCCGTACGTTTTCTGTAGACGCCAGACGCTCGGGAGTTGTTACGCGACGCAATTTTCTTCGCGGAGAACCCTTCGTTCTTGCTCCAATTACATTCGATTAACGGCTGATTGGGGTTCGACGCTAATGTCGCAGGTGTTTTTCAAACGATGGTGTCTCGGATGTCTCCGTAACGAGCCGCTTGCGAGAGGAATATCGATTGCTCTCGCGCAACAGAGATCCCTTTACCCGAGTAATCGTCGCGTTACCGTCGCATTATGGAAGTAGGTAACGAGAATTGTTGCGTTCGGATGCATCTTAAGTTGTGCCCCTTGCATTAATTAACCTGTGGACGGGCTGCCGTGCCGCAGCCGCCGCACAGTGGGACAAATGGGCAATCTAGGTGGCAAAAAGTCACGTCAGGAAATAAATATGTCTTCTATTTATTCTTGTTCCAGAATGTTTACCGAAGCTAATAATACCCGTGATAATATATTTGGTAACCATACAAGCATAGAAATCGATGTACAAAACCTTGGAATCGTAACATCACGAAGTGATACATTCGTTTGTGTTAGGAAGAACGTTATATGAGAACAACTAGTAATTGTTTTTCAACCTGTTATCGATTATGAACTATATTGTGCGGGAGCAGACGTTTCGAAATCAGTATAAAAATTTGTTTATCGATGCGTTTTACAAGAAGCGAGCGTAAAACGAGAAGAACGAGCGGAACGGACCTTGGCGACCGGCGCACAGTGGGGCAAATGGGCAATATAGGTGGCAAAAAGTCATGTCGTGAAATAGTTATATCTTCTATTTATTCTTGCTCCAGAACGTTTACCGAGGCTAATAATGCCCGTAATAATATATTTGATAACCATAGAAATCGATGCATAAAAACTTGGAATCGTAACATCACGAAGTGATACGCTCATTTGTGTTAGGAGGAACGTTATATGAGAACAACTAGTAATTGTTTTTCAACCTGTTATCGATTATGAACTATATTGTGCGGGAGCAGACGTTTCGAAATCAGTATAAAAATTTGTTTATCGATGCGTTTTACAAGAAGTTCTGGAGGCTTGTATAAATTGAATTTATTGTGCCGTGTTTAGTTCACTTTAGAAGCGAAGAACTAAATAATACCAGGAGATACCGCCTTCAAATGTATATGACGCGAAGTTTAAACTATGTAGAACAGATTTTTCCAAAATTTCACTGCTAACATCTGCTAATCTGCTTGTCGCATCATTTTCAAGTTCTTCCGAGACCTTCGAGCCGTGCCGCCTCAATGCAAGGAACGATCGTTCGAGACGGGTCAAACTTGTACATCAATATATTTGTCGCTAGTTGATCTGCCATCTTTTGTTTACTGCAGTTTTCGAATGCAGAAGTAATTGGATTAGTCGGTCTTCGGACACTGAAATCACTGTGTCACCAATTTGCTCTTCACCAATAAGGATGTTGTCAGAATATGCTAAAGAGACCTTCAATAAAGAGGCGATGCGTGGATTGCAAACACTATAAAATATTCTCGTAATGTCATAAACGTCGATTTATTGTCAATGCTTCTAATAACATCGGACCCTATTACAAACGGTCGTAGAAGTATTCCAAAAAAAAGATAAAAAATAATTTCCTTTAGGGAATCTCAAAGATAATAAGAGAACCATAGCTTCCGTCCAACTCCATAAGCACCGAATATGCTTCAGAATTTTGCTGATATCGAAGTATCCGACCTAAACTTTGATTTTTGCTTTCGTATCGATAAATTGTTATATCTAGATCTTTCATTGTGTTACATTATACTTTATTACGAATCCGATTTACATTACGTTCACAATTATATATTAATTTGATCTATGTTTTATTATATTTTGTAAATGTTATGCATAAACAGCATACATATATACGTACAGGTTAAAAATTTTTATTTTAATTTTCGCAATTCAAAAACTTTGCACGCGATTTAGATCAACAGGAAATGAAAGTTTGAAGTCTCCCGTTTATATCGATCACCTACATATTCTTATAAGTCGCATAAACACAAGGTCTGTTTCATTGAGAACTTATCATTACGTGTCCAAGAAATTGCTATCGATTTCAGTGCGAGCTTTCAGAAAAATCTGCGAAATTATTGACCGATTGGGAAACAATGAATCCACTATTCGATCGGTCTTCAATGCTCGTCGAGCGAATTTTAACGACGGACGAGCGGATTGTGCATACATTTGAATAAATCTGAATGCGTGAACCGTGGTCGACAGGATGTAGAACCTTTTAAATATAGTTCTAATCGCTTGGCGTCTAGATTGCCTTGACCACAACTCGAAATTAATTGGATCAACCGATCGAGCCTTAGAAACGTTCCAGCTGTGCCCGAGGAAAGCTCCGATCGATGAAAGGAGGCAATTTTTTGTAGCTCGACGGAGAACAGTCGCGAAAAAACAGCGTAGATCCGCAACCTTCGAAAGTTGTATTGTTTGTATTAGCTTTCAAGGAACTACGGAGAGTGTAAACCGAACGACGTACAGTGGTGCTATTGTATACCGAACGCGGTAAAAAGCCATTTGAATAAAATATCTCTACAATGAAAAGTTAATTCGCGTATAGTGTGTTCGGAGTGTAGACTATTGATTTGGCATGATTTTTTAATTACTTGTTAATTTTGGCGACGAATAGAAGATTCTGAAGTGACCCATCTCGAAATCGTTCCCAAATAAAATCGTCGTTTATAATTCTGTTATCTTTTTAAATTACATAATGAGTGACAGAAGTGCCTAGTATGTACCTAAATTACATCAAATTACGTTTTTATGTCTCTGCTACTTTTTCAGTTATACGTAACACTGAATACGTTTATATTACATTTTATTTTTTAATTACGAATGCAGTGGGACGTTCGTTTTAGCCGCATTCTATAGAACCTTTACCTAAAAGGAAGGAACATTGCCAAGAGCTGTCAATGTGAAAGTTACAGAAACAATCGCGTATAGAAATACGCTCGCAGCTCGAAACTCCAAGCATTGTCGACTGTTGAACATGCACAACAATTTCTTTTGTGTCTCACAATTTTTGTCTCGAGTATTATAGAAGTATGGAAAAAAACACGCAATTCGAGCATTTGTCTCGTGGTTTTCGCGAGTGTCGTGTGTGTCGATGCGTTTAGTTCGAAGTGTTGGTTACTGAAATACATATTTACATTGTATCAGATAAGATATAAAGAGATATATGTGTATACAGGGTGTTTCATATTTATGCTAACTCGTAAAGAAAGCCGCGGATTGCATTTTCGCTAAGGAAAAAGTTACTTCAAACAACCTCGGGAATCACCCCTTTCCAAGTGTTAACATAATTATGGAACACCCTGCATACTCCTCGCGCGAGGAGAAGGCACCTTCGTATTTACATTCCCCCTCTTACTAGCTGCCCCACTGCCGCAGCTAGTAAGAGGGGGAATATAAACGCGAAGGTGCTTTCTTGTCGCGTGAGGACTGTACACGATTTAAGATATAAAATGTTTTCTACCGCGTTTGGCACACAATGGGCCTCACTGTGCGACGTAGCGACTAAAACGAAACCTGACAACGATTCCTGCAAAATTCTAGGTCGACGATCAAAAAACGCTTACCAGTAGGGATCGTGGGGCTCTGAGGTTCAACACCAAGTCTCCGGAGGAGGCGACGACCAGCCTGCCGTTCGCGAGATCGAAATCGCCACGGGACAGGACACCGCAGCTGAAGAAACCTCCTAGCAACGACAGACGCGACGATGGAACGACCAGCTACACCGAGGCGAAGTTCGAGTCCAGCAAACGCTCGAACTTCCGAACCACGAAAACGACCGAGAAGAACGTCACCAGCGACGCGACGAACAGCTCGAGAAGGACTTTCGGCAAGAACATCGACGAGATCAAGAAGGGAGAGCCGACGATCAACAGGAGGAACGGGAAGCGATACTCGACCGAGAGCAACGAAGGGGGCAGAGCGAAGGACGAGCAGGGCGTCACGACGGACATCCCGAGGGAGATATCTAGGAGACCGTCTTCGAGACCGGCAGCTCGCTACGAGGTCACGGAGAGGCTGATAGACACCAGTGGTCCGTCGGTTTTCACGGCCACCACGGACTCGTCGAGGTCCAGGACGGGCAGGAAGATCCAGACGACGTTCGGGTCGAGAGACTCGAAGACGCAGATACCGGCGTCCAGGAGGTTCACGAATCGGAACGCGCAGAGCTTCGAGACCAGCACGGTCTCGTTGCGAAGATCGACGACCGAGAGGATCGAGAGAGGCACCAGGTCTGGTAGATCGAAGTCCGGCAACAAGGAGAGCCTCGCGACCGCTCGCAAGAGCCAAGATGCTGTCCTCTCCGAGTCCGAAAGCGTCAGAGTCGACGTTCCTCTGGCGCTGGAGGCGACCGAGCCTACGACATCTTCTTCGGCGGCCTTTTCCCAGCAAACGACGTCATACGTGGAAGCTGGAAAGCGATCGGACACCAGAAGAGGACCGGAGAGGTCCAAGGGTCGCGGGAGGTCCTCCGGTCCCGGCAATCCAGACTCCGTTTCCCCAACTCCGAGGAGCGGCAGAAGGGGATCCTCCAAGTTCAACGATCTCGGTACCACGGAGGCTGCCGAGCAGAACATTTCCTGGAAGAAGAACGCGATCTCCAGGGATCGGTCCAGAGGAGCTGACGGTCGAAAGGGCTCGGAGAGGGCTAGAGCGAGGAGCAGAAGTTTCGAGAATGCGGTGACGCCGGTCGCTTCGGAGAGAGACGCCAAGCGAAAGGCGCACGGAGAAAGAAACTTTGCGGAGAGGAGGAACAGAATTTCCGAGGCGACGACCAGGTCCGCGGATCATCGCGGGCAGGATCAAGATGGCCGCAGAGGGAGGAACAGGTCCAGGGTGAACGCTACCACGCCGATTCCTTCAAGTAAGTAGTTGATGAGTAGACTGCGAATCTTTATGTGTTTATAACATATTCGGATTTCTGAAGTGCGAGAGGATGTTTAATATCGCAAGAACTAGTAACATTTTTATTTTCTTGTTGCGATGCGTAATTTTTTATTCAACAGAAGGAATTTATCTATAATTCGGATTTCTGCAAAATAACATGTGAAATTGGAACCCGCGAAACGACGAAAAGTTAGCTAATCTTGCTTTTATGCATTGCAATTATTAATTCAACGGGAATTCAACGTTGAATTATTATTCAACGGGAGCAAGTCCCTTACAATAGTATGTCATAATATAGTAATATATAATAAATATAATAATAATAAATATAATAATAATAAATAATATATAATAAAATAGTATAAATAGTATAATATATTAATAGTATAGTTACAATAGTATGACAATATGTCGCACAATAGCATACAGGTAGCAAAGTATTTTCACCGGTTCCCTACAAAACATCTAAACGTCAATTGCATAATTTCATCATCACTGCAAGCACATAAAGCGTATAATGTCCTGCTTCTGTTTATAAATTATTATGTATCTAGCCTGTTTATAAATTAATAATAATAATAATATCAAAAACAAGTAAAGAAAAAATAGAACAGATGATACACAATAAAAAAGAAGAAGATACAATAGTAGATAGAAAATATTAGGTCGAGTCATAGACGACACCGTTTTTCTTTATCAGACATTCATTTGTTTCCTCTTTTATGTTTTCTACGTTTTTTCTTTTTATCGATTTGTATTGTTATTTTTTATTTTATTTACTTTGAACCCTCGTCTATTCAACGAAATCAAAAACTCGTTTGTCCCGGTGACTCATCGTGGACAGATACGAACATTAGATTCTACCTAGCTACATCGGAAGTTATTTATGACTCGACCTAATAGTTCAATTTTGGGAGAATCACCGAGGATTGGTAATCGTTTCTGTCAGTTCCTTGCAGAACTTGGCACAAAGATTTGACTAACAACAGTTTTTAATCGCACCTTCGTAGCAGATGCCGCGACAACAGCCTCGCCAGAGACGACAGTGGTCACCGAGGTGTTGACAACCTCCGACAACTCCGAGTCGCCTCAGCTTCTCTCCAGCACCACACCTATACCAGCAACGTCGACCACCGCGAGTCCGAGGACATTGACAACCACTCCGAGGCAGTCCTCGAGCACGAGTTCCGAAGGCGCCGGGCGAAACCGGACGAGAGGCAGAGGTGGTCAAGGAAGGGCGCAGACGAAAGAGGATTTTTTCAACCACGGTCTAGGGTTCAGAGGTCGAAAGCCTTCGACCGAGGGGCCAGCGACGGGCAACGACGTTAGAAGACCCACGGCACAGAGGAACGATACGCGGACCAACGGAAACCCGGGCTGGACTCTCAGGCGACGACCAGGTCACTCGAACAGCCTCGAATCTCTACCGAGGGCGGCGGTGGTTCCGCAAGGCAGGGATCAGACGAACGAAGTGATCCCATCGAACGAGCAGTCGACCAGCACCGAAATCGTAACGTCCATAGAAAGCTCGACCAGGCGAAGCTTCGAGAAGCCGCGGTCGAGCACCGAGGAGAGCACCGCAGCGGACAGCACGACCACCAACAGCCCCAGAAGAGGCGGCAAGGCCTTCGGATTCGGCAAACCGTCGACGGACACCGAGGAGAGCGACAATTACCCGCCGGAGTTCAAAGCCAGGCTGTCTCAGCTGGTGAGTTCCTCGGTTCATAATTCCGTTTAAATCGGGCACTTGCACCGATCGATAATCGAAGCGAAACATTACGCCCTTTCTTGCAACTGTGTTCCCGCTGTATTTTGTTGTACCAAAATACATTGTACAGGGTGTCGAAAAATGTTTCGCCGTGGCTAGGGTAGCTGAACTCTGCATCCGCGGATCGGCGATGATCGGTCAAAAAAAGTTCCCGCAGAAGTGTCTTCGACCGACTTTTCCAGATAAAATTGTTTTATTTTTCCAGGTGAAAATTGTTTTTTAGATTTGTACTTCTAAGATCGTTTCACCGTGAATTTACACCGTGTCCAAAAGTCGGTCAAGGACACTTTTGCGGGAATCTTTTTCGACAGATCTTCACCGATCCGAGAATGCAAAGATCATCTGTGCTAGTCACGACAAAACATTTTTCGACACCCTGTACGCGGATAGTTTTGTATTGTGTACATATTAGGGTGCAATACTATATCGGTATTCTCATAATTAAAATTAACGGGATTCGGAAACGTATTACTTAAAATCTACCATCTTATCGATATCTGCCAAGCCATCGGAAGGGAAACCGAAAAAATACCGGCATTTAGTTCGGTTTCGGTGCAACTCTTTTTAGCGCAATACCGGTATCAAGATCGTGCCGGTTTTCTTCAAGTCCCTGATTCAAATCGGTTCGATTATCGCGGCTAATAACGACGAAGCCACCTTGAGTATGCTTCATATTTCGTCGTATTTTCCTAACAAAAGGATCAACGTTCGATGAAACTTGATTTCTCTTAACGCGTTGAATGCCACGCCGGTTTTACAGAAATTGTCCGTGGCGCCACGATGAATTTTCTTTTATGCGATACATATAACGTTGAAATATTATCTGCAATAGATAAGTTACAGTGTATAACCATGTTTGACATGTTAATTGCGACAGGGGTCACTGTTTGAATCGACGATGGTGATAATACAAAATTTTAGATATTGACATTTGTTTGAAATTATATATATTTCTATCAATTTGGGCGCGCCGGTCACCGGTCGTCCCCATGGCGTCACCGCCAAGTTAAGTGCCGGTCACCGGGTGACCCCCGTGGCATCCAACGTGTTAATTTTCAATTTGGTATTGCATATTTACAATAAATTGGGCGTTTCGTCCGAACAATGTAGCACAACTACCGTGCCGATCGATAAGACTGGCGAAGTTGTGTTAACCGAGAAGTATGATTTCAGAAGATCTCGAATACGAAAGCACCAGCCCCGAAAACCGTCCCTAGACCGCCAGTGGAGGTAAGAGACCATAGCGATCCTCCTGCTCAGCTAACAGCATCCGACCGAGTCTCTTAATCACCGATCAATTGGTCGTAACATTTCTACGCTTCTATTTTAGTTGAACGAATTTTCTGGTTTTACTTTCGAACGATACTTACAACTTAACACGGACATAACCACTGACACTATCGCGGAAGTATCGGTTCGTATTGGTTAAAGAACGTACACAACGCGACTAAAACGAAAGGAACGTAGACGCGTACACCGGTAAATCGCTAACACCGACAACAGTTTAATCAGCATGCACATAACAACACAACCGTTATGCAATTCGACACTGTGACGACCGTGGTAAAACATCTGCGAAAAGACTGTGGAACATCTCATTAAAATATGTCGTAGAGGAGACAAATCATTAACGGTAGGAAAAGCGACGAACTTGTTGAAGATCGATAACGATATTCGTGTAGGATCCACAGACGAGCGTCTTCGGTCGACGATCGAGGACCAAATCGAGGCTGATCGAGCCCGACGACCTCGATACATCAGCCGCAGGAAATCGATATTTCACGGATCAAAGTTTATTTGTGAACCCTCTAACGTTGATAAATGCCAGTGGATCGCAACGCGTAAGGCTCACTTGCAAATTATCATATCTGTATCATCGCGTGTGTATCCGCTTGAATATCCGCCCCTCCTCTGTCCGATGCGTTCTAGACCGTTCGCGAGCTTTCGTTCGGCTTTCCCAAGCGAAACCGAGGTCTATGGGACGCTCGGCTCCCACCGCCAGCTTACGTCATCGTTCTCGACGTGCTTTCGGACTTCCCCGCGAGTTCGCGTCGGAAGCGCCAGTCCCGCTAACCTCGTACGTTGACGCGCGTCAGATTATAGCCAATTCACCTCCCTGGATCCTTCAGAAAACTCAAACCACGCACTTCGATCCTCCGTGACACGTAACATTCGTCAGAGAACATCGATACTCTCGATACAAACTCGAAACATTCTTCTGCCTACCCGAGACACGTAGAATCGTAGAAAAGAAAACTCATCGATCGATCGTATCATCCGTTAACGTACAGGGTGTCCCAAAAATGTCTCGCAATCCGGAAATGGCGGGTTTCTCGGATCATTTGAAGCAACTTCTTCCTTTACAAAAATTTTCTCCGAGCCACCGTTAACGAGTTATTAACGAAAAACAGTGACCAATAAGAATCGAGTACGGCTGACGCGAGGCGGCCCAGTCAACCAGCGCGCGAAGCCCAGTTCCGCTCATTGGCTCGGTCGCCTCGCGCCAGCTGAGTTGGGATTCGACCGCCTCGACCGCTGGCGCCGTTGGCTCGGCCGACTCACGCCAGCTGAGCTGGGATTCGACCGCTCGACCGCTGGCGCCGTTGGGTCGGCCACCTCGCGGCAGCTGATCTCTGTTCTCACTGTTTTCCGTTAATAACTCGTTAACGGTGCCTCGGAGAAAATTTTCGTAAAGGAAAAAGTTGCTTCGAATGACCTGAGGAATCCGCCACTTTCGGATTGCGAGACATTTTTGGGACACCCTGTA